CCAGATTGTTTTACGTTGTAGCGACTGAAGAGATTAAAAGAAATGTTAACATCTCGCAGTATTTGTCTTCTTTCGGTTCTAACGAATTGGATAAAGGGGACCCAATGTTTCAAATTCCAGAATATGCCCGTTATGATATGAGAACACAAGTTCAGAGACGAACAACTATTTTCATTGATTCATCTTTTAGCCTGTACAAATCATATAGGGAAATGGCATGTCAAACGAGGATTGACATTTAGTCATTCACAAATCACAGTGACTGGTTGGGAGGGAGAGGGATGTGAAATGATTGGTGATAACCTCGTGTTTCACCACACTAGGTCATCAAAACACTGCAACCAGGTTGTGGTGCGTCATCCATGCGATCGATCTTCGGTCAGGGCATGGTGACCTGAGTCTCAAATGTGAAAGTTGGTTCACGCTTCTTTCCGATATACTCCTCTCCAGCAGTCCAACGGTTGTCCTGTGCAGAACTACGTCAAGGAATGCTAGTTTGCTATCTTTCTCTGTTTCCAGGGTGAACCTTATGGACTTGTGAGCTTCGTTGAACGTTTGAGTGATATGGGTCGGGTCGTTCTCTTTGTCGGTTATGCAAAATATGTTGTCGATATACTGCTTATACAATTTCATCTTTCTAATTTCGGATTCCAAGACTGGGTTCTCCAGTTTGGCCATAAATATATCCGCTAATATAGGACCTAGTGGAGGGGCCATAGCGACACCATCCCTCTGACGATACACTTTTTCGTTAAATAGAAACTAAACGTCGAAAGTGAACTTCAGGAGCAGTTCTTTTATTTCTTCTACCGGTAAATTCACTTAGATTCCATTTTCATCGATGTAGTTACCAATGAAATCAATCATTTCCACGAGCGGAACGTTCGTGAACAACATCTTTTGAATGACTGAATGTCTATCCACGTTTAGCATACAATTTCCTTATATGATCTGTACAGGCTATATAAACAAGTGAAAACAGTTGTTCGCATCTAAACGTGTGTTCGCATATTTTTGTTTTCTCAGATGTCACAATATCAAATAAGTTTTGTGCTGATTCACTTAACGCTAGCTGTATGCACGATTGCAGTTAAGCTAAAAAAAACTCATGAAACTCTGTGAACCTAAAAGATATAGGGAAAAAAGCTAATTAAAACTTGGATTCAGGAGTCACCTGTGCCCCCCCCCCTATTGAGGAAACAATGATCGCCATTAGCTATTGGAGCAATCAGTGAAAACCAAACTTTACTGAGGTAGATGCCTACTGAGTTGGATTACGCTCTTCGGATGTGATTCCCAACCTTTGTGAAACTCTTTATCTTCCGTACCCAACCCTATCCCTTTACCCGTTCTTCCGACCCGTAATATTCCCTCGTACAACTTCGTCGTCACTCGCCAAAGGTCTTTGCCAAATAGCAATGTAACTAGTTTTCCTGTAAATAAAGTGTAGATTCTGAAGCCACGTCAACCTCTCTCACGAATTCAGGATCCTAGTATTATGAGCCACTTGAGGGCGCCCGGTCTGTCCTCGAGGTATTTCCTTCGCACATCAGGAGACAACGAAGCCCGCTCACTGGGTCAGCGTGGTGTACGTATCGTACTAAACGATAAAGCTGAAGCCTCTATGATAGATTGCATACCCCTCAATAGTCATCTGTGCGAAATGAGGCTACAGGATTCAGTTAGTGTTCGGAAGGGTAGCAACACCAAAAGATGTTTGTTCATCATTTCTGAGTATGCACCAAACAACTACAGTCCCGCTTCACAAAAGGACGAATTTTACGACCAACTCGTCGAACTGATTCAGTTAAGCCGCAATTCTGATAGTATAGTCCTGGCAGGTGATTTTAACGCGCAGGTTGGAAAACTAAGCGCAACCGAAGCCTGTCTAGGAGGGCACTTCGTACTCAGCGCCCAGAGGATAGACAAGAGTTCAGTTGATGGTGATGATGATGATGATGACGACGATGATGATGATGATGATGATGATGATGATGATGATGATGATGATGATGATGATGATGATGATGATGATGATGACATGTTTAGAGTACCCTTTTATGCGAGTGACAATCAGGATCAGGATTTCCTGGAGCTAATTCACAAGCCCCTTTGGGAAAGCTTTGGAACATCGGATTTGCAGCTCCTTCGTACACCAAGCATCTATTCCGAGGTGTAGTTGCTCACATGCCTTGAAAATACTCGGATATTTTTGTTTGTTTTTTTATTCTTGTGCAGCAGATTTCTAGACAACAGTGGATTCTCCATGAAAATTTACTTGCCTTTG